ATTAGTACGTTTCACAGGTGCATTTTGTTTCCGGCAGAGAAACCAAGCCTGTATCGGCTGGTCGAATTAACTCCTATATCGTGGTACACAACAGGTGTCACATGAATTTAGCCAGGGAGTCAACCAACTTTCATTGCACGCGGCCCCGATTTACCAACCAGTATCTTCATTTCCCTGTTCACGTTTTTAATACAAAACCCATGAATTTTGTAGATGAAATGTTGACAGACGGTCAATTGTCTGTTCTCGAATCGTCGAACTTTAAATATTGTATCTACGAGTATGAGTCGATAAATAGGTTCCATCCTACCCTCTAAAAAAATACGAACGAATAACACGAATCGTTTTAATATATTATATCGATAATCGTTATCCGGTTGTTGGGGGTCTTACTGTATCAGTCACTATCTATCGAGATTATAAAAATCAAGAACTGAAAATTGGAATTGAGAATATTTTTGGGATGACATCCCTAGGCGTTTATTGAGGTAACAAAATAAATCAAGGAATTATTTGATATCAAACAAGGTAACGGAATAATTCAAACAAGAATCGTTCGTTGGTTTGAACAAAATATCGAACAAATATTTGAAAATAATCGTTAATTACCCAAGACAACTTTTGATTTAACTCTGACGGTGGAATTTTGTGTATCTGCGTGCGTGATTAAAATCAATCAGTCACGAGTATTTCATCAAAGGCAGAGTAAACGCACCTACTGTAAATTTGAATTAGATTATAACAAAACGGAAAATATTACGGGTTGGTTTACTTAAAAAACCAATAATCTTATTGTTTCAAAATTCATTAATATAAGAAGTATTATTAATACAAACTTAAAAAATTTGTAATTAAAGAAAGTAGGAAGAATGCATATATGTACATGAAACCTTACATCATTTGATTCCTTTAGTGTACCTCTTTCAGACTCCGTGTGCATAATTATGCACATATATTTTTTATATTTTTTAAGAGTACTTGCAATCTACTTCGTTTCACTTGCTGTTGCTTTTTTAATACTGACAACATTTGTGAACATAATGTAAAATTGGCGCGGTAGTGTTTATCGGTTCCTGGGATATTTAATAATGAAGTCACCATAGCGAAGTCATCCGCGGTAAGACGAAGTAAGGTCGGTCTTCTTCAATTTGATATTATTTACTAAAGGTATTTTGAAAATCGATTATTTTGTATTTACATGATGAAAAGACAGAATGAAGTTGGTCACTTGCATCATTTGTTGTGTTTTACATGCCATAAAAATGGCAGTATAGTATATACCAATCAAAAACGGATGTGCATGATTATGCACATTTCTTTTCTGTCCAAATAAAAAAGGAAAATGAAAAAATTATTATTTTAATATTATTTGAACCTAAATAGAATAAGATATATGTAAAAACGTATTTTTTCTATCCTTTAGAATTAATTCAAGACTGGATGGGCTAATAAAAGAAATATGCTTTTCAATGTTTACAAAAATTTCAATTTTTATAACAAAATATATTTTACTTTTTCAGATGACGAGTATATGCGTCATTACCCAAAAAAGAGTAATTTCCTTATGACGAGTACACTCGTTAAACATCGTTAAAGGGTTAATATAATCATTTCCAAAACGTTTGATTAAAAAATTGAGAATAAAATATTAAAATTTTTATTTTTCGACAGTTGAAAGAATTTTTATTTTCCCTAAAATCTGACCATCTTGTTATTGTCTACCTCTAATTTCTTAAGGAATAGTGGCACATATGTGTACGTTCAGTTTTTCTTCATTCAAGTATGATTCCAAAGATACAATAAATATTATTGTGAATAAATACCTACTCGGAAATTCCATATTAAAAGAAAAAGATAACTTACCAACCGATTGTCATTAATATTCATAATTATACTTTGAAGTAGTTGAAAGAGAGTCTTAATAATTGAACCTCATAAATCACATAGTTTGGTAGTGCAATCTCTTTGATTTACAATTATCTAAGTTGATTTATCACCCGAGTAAAATTAAACTTAATTTTCCCTTAAGTATACAAATGTTATTTGCCCAACCCAAAATGAATGAATGTTTGTTTTTCATTTATAATTTAAAAAAAAAATTTTAAGCTGCAAATGTAATTTAATTTATTAGAAGTTTTGTCAATGGGTGTATGTAATGTAAATAAAAATCTACATCATCTTGTATTGCAGAAATGCATCTCAGTTGAGATTCTAAATGCTAATAATGAAAATGAAAAATAATAATTTGTCCCTGAAGAGGTTGAACTTCCCACCAGAAATATCTTCACGGGGTTTCAGAATCAAATGGAACAAGCAAATCGATTACTTACTTTCCCAAAGTAGGTAAAAGGATCGCGGAGCACATGCTCAGGTATACGCGAAACGAAGTCGCGACGAATGGAGAGATTCACGGGCGATTTACTTTGATTTCGTCCGCGGAGCATTTCCTTTATGCCCGTGGCCGTTTTCAGCGTCACCCGCACACACCACCCTTCTACTCTCCATTCGAGGACTTAGCCACGGCGAACACACGATGGCCAAAACATGCATTGCTCTCTGGGTATGCGCTCCTTTGATGTATTCTGCATTCTTACCCGAGAACCGGAGATATACAGGGTGTCCCAAAATAGCTTCGACTCCCGGAAATGCGGGGTTCCTGGCATGATTTGGAACAACTTTTTCCTTGGCAAAAATTTCATTCGAGGCTTTGTTAACGAGATATTAACGAAAAACCCCAACCAATCAGAGCGCGAGTCTACCGGCCGAGCATCCGCGGTAGCATTGGTTACCAATCGCAGCGCGTAGTTACCGTTATCTCGATGCTCGGCTGGTAGACTCGCGCTCTGATTGGTTGTGGTTTTTCGTTAATGTCTCGTTAACAAAGCCTCGTATGACATTTTTGCTAAGGAAAAGGTTGTTCTAAATCTACCCAGGAACGCCTCATTTCCGGGAGTCGAAGCTATTTTGGGACACCCTGTACACGAGGACGATTATCGGACGTCTATCGTCCGAAGAGAAACCGAGAATGCCCTTAAGAGCCTGTCTCTGGAGAGGTCACGCTTCGAAGGATTATATACCCGTGTCTCCTTGAGCCTTTCAATGGAGATTTGGTAGTCGATTGACCGGACTACGGGCGTTCCGAACGTTCCTAGATAAGGGAACCCGCGAATCCTCGATCGGTACATTGTCTCGGATTATTGGCTTCGCGTTTGAGACACGGAATATCGAATTCATCGACTGGTATTGGTATGCTTGTAACCCATTTGAATTCAGATTCACTACAGAGTCATTCGTTTACGTTGAAACATGTTCAGAACATTCGTGATCGTTAACGAATAAAATTGTTAACGAATAAATAGAAATTAGCAACCTCAAAATTGATTGAATTTTTAAATATACTGAACTTCAGATAATCAAGTGCATTATAAACGTTTAAAATTTGCTGTCCATGCCTTTTGTTAGCTAGCTCCACTGTCTGGTATTCACTGGTTATTTCTACTTACAGTGACCCGTGCCTCTCAATAATACGATGTCAATCGATAGGAGATAGTAAGATTGATGGAAATTGGATAATGTTTGCATTAAGAATCTTATAATGGCGACTTCGTCTGTCTGAAGAATTTACCAAGTCGCTCTAGATTTGCAATCTGCTTTTGCATATAAAATCACTTGCCTCCCCCATTACCCTAAGTCACCAGTAACAAAGTATCTTGTATATGTATAATCAATATGCTTCTAAAATGCAGAAGTTACGAGTTTTCAGGGCGTACTTTATATGGTCACCATATTCACTAGTTCGGGAATTATCACTAAAATAATTAAGTACAATTTCTGGAAAAATAATATATCGTGTAAAAATATCTCTTTTATACGAGAATATAAATATTGTTCCATAGAAATTTGAAAAAAGTTCAGAAAACAATAAAACTAGTCACCGATGTGTCAAGAAATGCAACCGCGAATCTGAAAAATATAATAAACTAAACAAGACAACAATTATCAGGATGAACTAAAATTCAAGGTATAAATAAGGCCAGAGAGATAGTACGGCTCAAAATAAGAGGAAAACGAAGAATAATGAAATTGCGCTTGCAGTTTCATTTTTCAGATAATCACATTTGAAAATCTGCTGGATACGCGTACAAGTGAATAGGACTTGACTAGCGTGCCTGTTCATTGCACTCCGTTTCTACTTACTACCACAGCGAATACACGTTTCGGATTAATTTTCAAATCCGATTTTCTCGGAAACGAAGCCTCTAACGCAATTTCGTTATTCTTGTTTTTCGTCTTATTTTGAGCAGTACTATCTCTCTGATCTCATTTGTTTCACGTATTTTGGCCTATCTTGTACGTGTTTTATGTAACAGACATCTATGCTGGAAGACACGGTCCAAAAATTGTTATATACACGTCATCGCATTAGTTCAAAAGCAGAGTTACTCTTTCACTACGACTATAATAATCGTCGAAGTAAAACTGACCGAATTGCCTAAAGTCCCATTTTGAAACAAGTTCTGTATTCTTAAGAAAAGTAACTTATATAACTGTCTATTTGAAATCAATTTTTTTTAATTTGAACGGAATACTTTATTTGAAACCTTTTATTCCCAGATATATTCAAAACAGAGTTTTTGCAAGAAACTGTATGTTTTTATTAGGTGAGCATAAAGTATCCTCCTCTAACAGTAGTCCACGTAACAGAAAAAGGGGTTGATATTACGAGGGTTATGAGTAGACTGTGAATTTTAATGCAAAATCGCATTTTATAAAGTAATTCACGAAACACGAACAAACCTAGGAACTTCATTTTTTCCTTACGTATCTTATTAAGTTAAGAATGAAATAGAAAGATTCGTTGCACTCAATGAAATTTTTGTCACTCATTGTATTTCACAGACGTCTAGACACTATAAATGCATAAAATCCGCAGTCTAGTTATGAGAGAGGATTCTAACCGGAAAGAGCAAAACGGCGTATAATTAGCAAGTCGTACTCACCGACGTCGAAACCGTTCGTCGCGTCCCCCTGCGGCGCTAGGGGGAAACGATAGTGGTGTTCATTGGCTTCCAGATGCCGGACACATCCCTTAAATCCGGTCCTCACCGGAAGTCGCTCGAGGCCGGTTGTGTTTCCGGGCCCGCCGACGAAGAGCGGCTCACGGAAGGTAATCCTTGCAAACAAGCCCTGCAATCAAATCCAAAATTGTCCGGTTTATAACTGCGCGAAGCGGTTATGGCACAATTCTCGCCGAATCGTTATCGTCATTTATTGGCGTAGCCAGGTTATCAGTCGAAAGGGGGCAGCAAAAATATTAACATACCGACTGCCACAGTGAAAAAGGCTGTACGTAGCCAGACACACTTTATTTTGTTTTTAAAGTCGTAAATGTGTCTGTCCCGGCGATGACATTTATCGAGCTTCTTCGAGAATTTGTCGACTTATCCCCAAAGCATCCTTTAATCGTACCGGAGAAACGGAACGAGATTTTCGCCGAGATGAATTTTCTCTTTTGTGAAACTTCCAACTCCTTTTATTATCAGGAGGTTTATGTTTCGAAATTGAAGGATATCCTTGTAAAGTAAGAAACCTGACGATGCCTTGAAAAGCAACACGCTTACCTACCTCGAAAAATTACAAGTCCTTGAAGTTAATAACAAGCGTAGAATAAGATGATTGAATTTTCAATAATAATCTTTCTGGCACGGTTAACATTTGTAGCTTCACTAATTGGTCAGAAAAAATCTGTAGGTACTCGATTTTCATTATATAACCAAACAATATTGAATACCATTCCCTGTTTGTGGCAAATGGAAAAATATTGCGTTCAATTGAGTGCCTTTATCGTAAAACAACGGTTTACAATGTAATTCGTACCCAAATCTGGTTACGATGCTCTGTTATTCAATTATTCATTGGCGCGTTTATTTCTTTTCACATAAATTCGAATTTTTCGTAATTACACACACCACACATTTCGTAAAATGTTTTTCTACAATCGGGAACGCCGCGAATTACATTCGTCGAGGGGGTAGCTAAAGGGGAGGGGGGCAAGGGACAAACTCGTTTTATGTTAACTAAATAAAGGCTCGCGAAATAATGATACGGTGTAATCGACTTTCGAGTTTTAATTCCATTCAAACACCGCTCCAAACTGCTTCCTAAAGCCTGTATCCGAGGGCTAAGCTTCTCGTTAACGATTTTAGAACTACACGGGGCGACTCGTTTTACTTAAAAAGTAAAACTGTCGTTCTTCCGAGTAGAATCGCGACAACCTTAACGGACATTCAATTAACCCAGATTTCGTTGAAATGAGGGACGAACCTAATTACAGGCAACTTTCGATCTGTATCTGCAGCTTATTGGATCTACCGGGAATATTCTGCTATTTTTCCATTCGCCTAATAACGAAAAAATGGCGGATTTCGTAACAATATTCGTGTTCTAGACTAAAGTTATGATAAACATATTTTATTAAAAATGAAACACACGAATTTTTCAGTTATACTTAACCCTCACCTAGCTGATGCTGGGTTAGATCTGACTCCTTCTTGTATTTGTAATGTAACGATAGTAAATACACTGCAATAATACTCAAAATGTACGAAATATGTATGCAAAATGTATCCTCTATACGAAAGTAGTATTTTTCGTGCTGTATCAAATCGATTCAAAATAAAATACATACGATACATAAATATCCAAATCCAATACATATGTTTTTCATACGCAGTGTAGTTTTCGATATTGAGAACTTAAGAAGTCAGAGCTGGGGAATATAGAGGGTAGACCAGATGAATAGGATCACTTACATATTTACTATATTTATCGTTGAGTGAGAAAACTTCTCAGGACAAAGTTGCTCTATTTCAAACGGCACATGTGTTTCACATTGTATTCTCGAGTGATATACCTTCTGGCCGGTACTTTGAAACTCGTAACATGACTCCGAATGAACAACCTTAAGGGAGAGCCTGGCATAAACAGCTAATAATGAACGAATTTTTGAGAATTTGTGAACAAAGTAATAAACCAATCTCTTTGAAACTTAGAGAATACTTTAATGTAGATTTAAACTGAATACAAAAATCTTTTTTTTTTTCACGACAAATCCATAAATATTATAATAGTTATAATGACTTATGTGCAGCCCGTGAGCAAAATAGGTGTTCCCCGCCGGGATACGTAATTAAAAAAATATTCAACTTCTGACCCAGCCTAGCATGTACATATTCTTTAACATCTTCTCCATAGCATAAACCTATTTTGAAGTTAAGAAATACAAAATTGAAAGAATGATGACATCTTTATAAAAAAACGGCAACTTTGTTCAAGTAAAAAATGCTAAAAAATATAATTTATCGAAACAATAAAATTATGAACGTAGATTCACGCTGCGAAGAAGATGTTAAAGAATACACATATACATGCGATGTCCTGTCAATTGGTTGAATATTTTTTGAGTTATATTCCCTAGCATGGAACACGCTTTTTCCTCTCTGGTTGCACATAAGTCCATATAACTATCATATTTATGATTTGTCGTGAAAATAAAACTGTTTGTATTCAGTTTAATTGTATCATAAAGTATTCTCAAAATTCCAAAGAGATTGGCTTAATAATTTCTTTACGAGAAATTCCCAAAAATTCATTCGTTTTTAGCCCGTTTACATCAGACTCCACCCTTAAGAGATGTGGCGCGTACGTAATTGCACATATAAAGCTTAAAGGTCGATGCCGTCGTTCTGCAGCTCATGAAACTTCCGCGGAAGTCCTTGGGCACTCAGCGAGGGTTAAATCTTTTGATCCGTCGACGGATTGGCCGTGTTGCGGAAAGTCCATCCGGCCAGGGGTATATCGCGGTAAAGCGAGCCGTCGACGGATCCGTCTGCATTGGTGAGCAACGAAAGCGAAACGGGTCCAATTAACATTGAGGACGCGGGAAATCTACGGGATATCAACGCAAATGAGACTCGGCCGGGTCGGGTCAAAAGATCTGCTCTTTCAGAAATTCAAATTCAACTTGCACCTCTATTACGTTTTGATGTTGGCGCGACGAAAGTTTACGTCGTTCGAGCACGCCTAAAATTCATTTCCGAAATGCAGAATAGACCGTCAATCTGCGGTAGAATGATCCTGTGAGATTAGAATAGTGAAATGGTATTTCGAAGACAATTGAAGAGTTCTGGTAGAAGACACTGTAAGTGCCAAAATAGAAACATTTTGTTCTTTTATTGCAAAAAGTTCTACGTGCCAAACGGAATACTGTAGTGTACAATGTAAGTGCAATTTCAAATTGTAAATAGTTACCAGTACACTGTAAGTGACGATTGAAACGTTATAATAAAACGTCAGATGATAGAGCTTGTTAAACAATGTAAAATTTTCCTCTATCATTTTCCCCGAATGCCATTTGGAACAGAGCTATAGCCAGGCCCAATTACTAAAATCACCCTACACAGAGTCTATTTAATCTTGCTTTGTCTAATAAAATTCGTATAATGCTCAACATAACATCAATTGCTGGTAAGAAAACGATCTTTTCACGTGCAACAATCTAATACGTTCCACAAACCTGTCACCATCTGCATCCCAACTCCTAGAACCAACCTCATCTAACCAAAAGTAAAACTCCCAGAGCACACTAAATTTTTAAGATCCGCAGAATCCATTAAATTTTTATAACAGAAACAAATGCCGAATTCGAAGTTTCGAAACGGGAACACGATGTCCCCGGTCTAAATCCCCGCGAATGACGAAACCAAAGTTCTCGATCGTGAATTCTGTCCACGTCGCCTTAACACCCTCCACCCCCCACACAACGTCATATAGCTTCCAGAAGGTGTTGCGTGACGTACAATTTATGTGCCTTTTCCTCTCGATCCGTCTCGTCGTTCCGTCGATTTTTCACGCGATGTAGAGCCTGTCTGCTCGATGCCTCGGGGCGGGGGTGTGGATCCGTGGCCGGAAGAAAAGGGAACAGGGAGGGATGATCCGTCGTTTGTAGGCGACTTTATAAGGCGGCACGATACAATCGGATTCCTCGATGCTTGTTCGAGAAGAGTGCCGTCTCTGGAGCACAGGCCCGACTTTACGATCAGCACGTCAGATGCAGTTAATCTGCTCCCCCTGTCCAACGAGGGAGGCTAATTTCCAACGACTTCGAGGATTTGTACACACTCCCGGTTTCGAGGAAAATGGGGACACACTGAGACCCGTTTTTTAATGAATTTTTCTGTAGGGAACTGCAAAGTGGGCCGTGGAGAAGGGTGTGTTCTTCCTTCTAAGCTGGCTTTTCGATTTTGATCCTCGGAGACCATTGACGGCTACATCGAACAAAAGATAGGGGATGAAATGCATCTCTGATGCGAGGACGTAATAATGTCATCGTGATTGGCGAAAGATACTAGGAGGATAGACAGTTTCAGATATATTACAAGAGGAAGCTTTAGCACAGTTTAGTTCACACAAAGGGTGTCCCACAAAACTGGGTTAAGGTATATTTTCAAAACAATGGGCGGTTGAAACAAAATTTCATTAGACAAATTGAAATGGTTTCATGTGATGCATCACATTTACAGTCACCTTTACTCTTTGTTAAATAGAACTATAAGTACATATGATTAATGTGTTTTTTTTTTAATCTCTAGAAAAAGTACTAGTACTAATTTAAAAGGTATTTGACTGAAATTTTACATTCTATTTGGACATAGATTGTAACGTTTCTTTTGTACGTCTACTCGTGTTTACTAATAACTCAATTATCTTTGTAAGCATTGGTCAGTTTGATATTTCGAAATATTGTTGTTAAAGGTCAGGATTTCGTATCTTTTAAATAAATGAATAAGAGTTCTGATCACAAAATGTCAAAACCTTACCAATTCAGAAGAGTGGCTGATCACGTATGCTGATCATTTTTCCAAACATATACCTTAATTCTTTTTTACAGATATATATTTCCTGTATCTTTTTTACTTTATACTGTTGAATGATTATCAATGTTTAGTAGGGTATGCTTCGTCGCATAGAGTCATTGAATTTCAGAACACGTGATTATCTCGCCGATGTAAAATGTGTTGAGATTATTATTAATACAGTAATTTCTCGATGAGTGCGACGTACTCGGGTCCACTTCGAAGCACTCATGGCAAGATCGCAAGGTTTCCAGCCTTTCATAAACTTGTTTC